TCTATTTATTCATCATCAAGTCATGCGACATGTATAGCCTCTTCATCTTTTAAGTAGTTGTTTATAAAAAAATGTTCTAATGTAGTTTAGCAAATAGGATAAATATATGTTGTGTTCTGCATAAAATGTATTTAATAATGTGGTTATAAAGTATTATGGATGTTTATTATTTTTCACCCACATAATAGTTGGAATATAAAAGGCAAATGTTTATTTATATACATGAATTGATATAAGAATGGGTATAGAAGACAAATACCGAATTTCCTAATAAAAATGAAAGAATGCCTTGTCTAACTTTAATCAAATTTGGCACGTCACTCAGCAGGTGTTCAAGGTTCAATATGCCCCTAAACTGGCTGGGATATTATATATTGTTTAAGTTGTATCGCAGAAACACACATACATACAAGATTAGCGTTTTAGTATTATATAGATTTAAATATAACTTATCACCTGTTTATATTTCTGACATGAGGTATTGCAGTTGTTTACATTGTCCTCATCTTTATTGCCATATTCACATCGAACTAGAACAATCTACTCCAATGGATGAAATAAAGGGTCCAGTTTGAAATTTCAGTCACCTGAAGAAGGCCAGAGCATACAACGGCGAAAACGTTGTGTATATGGGAATAAAGATGAGGGCAACAGTCTAAATAATGTATATAATAACTTAATACATAGATAAAAAGATGACTCCAGTCACAAGATACATTATTATTATTATTATTATTATCTTCTCTTGTCCTTGAATATTGGCAGGATTTCTGTATTTAAAAAAGGAAAGCTAGCTTTGTCTCTCCAAATCAATTAAGTTCCTCAATGCGTTCAGACAGCTCACCAAAGAACAATGGTACATTTTGGTTGCAGTCTCTCCATTCTACAAACTAATTCCTTTCTTCAGAGTAATGTTGGCTATTACTGGCATTTTAAATTAATACCTGAGCCTTATTACTAGTAATAAGTAATAGATCTTAGTGAAGGACGCCCACTCCCTGACCTCACAAAAAAAGAAACATATTTCTGATGATCTGAGCATTGTGCACAATTTTTCAGGAAAGATGTTATTTTTTTTACTGGTCACCTTCTTTATATCAACCAACAATTATTAGTGTCATCTTTCATTTTTCCAGGTTTTTCAATGTTCAAAAGTTATAGTCAAGCAAGAAGACAGAATCCTATTATCATTCTTCTTGTTTCTTAATTTGTTAGTTCACATGTATGCTATATCTTGACATTAAACCTGATAAACAATGGGCCTTTCCAGTTTGACTGCAAAGACAGACAAAAGAAAAGTGACATCAAACATTCTGTTTAGTTTCAAAGAAAAGAAGAGAAAATAAAGAACGAATGATTGAAAGGGAAGAGGGAGGAGGAAGCGATAACATTCTCATGCATTTAACATCTGCTTTAGTGAAATGTGAGACATTATCAATTTTGAATCTTTTCATTTGTACCCTCTTACTTCTTTAAATAATCACCTGCCATTATACCCTGCCATTACCCCTGATAAACAATGGGCCTCTCCTGTTTGATTGTGAGGATAGACAGAAAAAAAGAAATCAAGTGCTGTTTTCATTTGTACCCTCTTACTTCTTTAAATAATGACCTGCATTCATATTTATGAATGTTATTGCAATATTTTGTTAGAGTTGTTAAGTTCAAATATTTAACAAGGCAATAGGAGAATTGCCACAGATCTTTTATAGTTGTAGAACTCGCAGGGAGCTTATTCAATCATTAACTTAAGAATTAAGATTCATTAGAAAATTCAAATTGGAAAACTGCAAAATTTTCACGGTATTTGTAATAGCTGTTATTGAAATACTGTATGAAATGCAAAATATAATGAAGGCTTGATTAAATTGGTTAATTCAGCCTTGAAAAATGCCATGTTAATCAAATTTGTATTAATTAAATTTCTACAGTAACTGCATTTGTTGTAAATGTTATTTATTTCTTACTCTGCCCTACTGCACTCAGAGAATTGTATTAAATCAAATTTTAGAAACACAATAATCGTAAACTTCAAACCCAACTAAATTAGAAACTATATTAAAACAAAAACAAAAATTAAAGATTTTTGGCATGCTAAATTCTAGGCTCACTTGTGTGTGCCATGTTGCTTCAGGATGTGGACAATTATGGCTCTCCATAACTTCCTTCTTTTGTCACACTAAACAATGCTTGCCTCCCAACTTATTATCACTCTAAGTCTCTATGCAGCCATTCATTTACACAAGCTTGTTAGATATTTTATTTGCTGTTTCTCCTCTTGTCTTTTGTATGTGATATGTGAATGTCTTCAAACCCTCTTTATGTGCCTTAGAAATGTCAATTTTCACTTTGCTGATTAATGTTTATTACATGGGAATGCTGAAAATTTCCCAGTACAAACAACAAACTCTTCCAGAACGGAAAATTCTGACGTTTGGTGGTGTTTTGTCAAGGCCACAAATTGCTCACAGTCCCCTTGTAAAATAGCAGTGGGAAGTAGACCAAAAATCAATGTAACAAAAAACTTTGTCAACCGTTTAACTGCTTATCCTTCTTTTAATAGATTCAATAAATCAATCAAAGTTAAATTGACTTGTCTTAATTGTCTAACTCCAGAGTTTTGACTCAGCACACTCTTCAGGGCCAGACGTTTAATCAACCCATTGAAATTATTATCAGATCTCAAATTTATACCCCTTGGAACACAACACTAATCTAATTATCTTTTCTATAATTTTATGGCAACTGTTCAGATAAGCTCTTTGCCATGGTACCTTGACTTTATGAATTTAAGCACAGCACCAAACTAGTGATGAAGTCTCACCATTTTACAGTAGAGTTGGTAAGTTGTAACCATAAGTTCTATGCTAACAGTTTCTTTACTTGCATTTCTCTCTTGTCAAACTCCATTCTGGCTGCATGCTTTCCAACCAACTTCAATCTCCAATGATTTAAATGTAATGTCAATCACTATCTACTGTCCTCCTGATTACTCTTCTTTTGTTCTCACTCCTTAGTAATGTTTCTGTTTTTTTCTAATTCTTTCACACCCAATAACCCCCTTGTGTCTTAGTGGCTTTACTGCCTTGCTTGGGGCAAACTAGGTTTTAAAAATTCTTACCTACATTATAGTTTTGTTTAAAATATAGCAACCTTTAAATTGAGAATGAGTTAAAATGAACTTCTTTTTTATCACTATGTTTAATCTCAGATTGAGAAATCGGAGAGCTGAATTCAAATTCCATTTGAATCCATTACATTCACTTATATGCTAATACCCTTGGGAAAAGTATGAATCCTCTTTTTCTCACCCCAGCTATGGTTAAATAGCAGGACAGACTGGGTTCTATAACCTTGGATGGCAACTGGTCTACTACAGAAAGAAATGGCAACCTACTGCAGAAAAAAAAATCTGCCTCGTTAGTCATGTATCGAAAGTTACATGATTGCCTAAGCATGTATCACGCATGGCACAGAAGTGCTGATAATAGATATAAAAAGGAAACTACAGCAACTACTACAGAAAATATTAAAGGAAAGCAAGGACTAAATATCAATTGTAAGAATAGAAAATGCGTGATTGTCCACAAAAGGAACAGCCTTTAATGGGAGAAAGCTATAGAAGAAAGGATTATTCTCTGATTTATATTTCCCACATTATGGTTATTATTATATCCATGGTATAATAACGCCATATTGCAGAGAACAGCTGAATGGAAAAGAAATAATAAACATGATTTGTTCTCAGAGAGAGAGTTTTATAATGCAAAAAACTTGGAGTGAGTTAAGTTACTAAAGAGAATTAACTGAAACTGAAATATTCAATAGGTTCAGCTGGATATTCCAACACATATCACCTGGAGAAGGTTAGAGCATATAACAGCCGAAACATTGTGAATATGGCAATAAAGATGAGACTTTGAATGATGTAAATATTGCAGACTATAAAATAAATCCAGCATTATTTCTTAAATATATTCATGGTTTTCTGGATCAATACCTCCTTTGATGCAGTATGTATTATGTGGCTCACCTTCAGGCAGAATAGATTTTACACCCAGTGTCCTTCTGAAAAGCCAGAGGTAGAGTTGACTTGAAATGATCTCTTAACAGGGTGTAATGATCCACGGTTCATCCAACGTCAATGTTGATACTAACAGATGAACACGGGTCAGCCTAGTTGCTCCTGAGTTGAAAGAGTTGGACAGGACCGTAGTCCAGGCAGGTATATAAACACCTACACCAGAAAGGAGATGAGCAGTCTCTCAGATATCTCACACAAGAATGTAAGGGCAACATTCAGATGAGGATTGAGGGCAATATACACACTGACTGTCACTTATAGTCTGATTATTTCTATATTCCCACAGTCTATACATACAAAAACTCTATCTCAAATACTGAACATTCTCCTCCAATAAATATAGCAAACTTTTCAACAATATTGGCATGTGTCCAAGTGGTTACAATGTTCTATTTCCAATGAAGAAACTCAGCTTTAAATGTCCCACAGATCAATTTGTCAGTAACTTCTTGATGTTCTGAGTCTGGGGAAGCAATCCCAGTGTGTGGCACCTAAGGTCCAACCAGTATAAACCACAGGTGGGTTCTGTGGGTGTTGAATGCAAATATGCCAGAGCAAGCATCTGCAACTGGGATCGACAAGCTGATGATTCACGGTCTCCCTTATAAACTGAGCCAAATGATGACATGATTCAGTGTTCTTTAACAATGATTTGTTTTCTATGACTTAATGACCTTTTGCAGGTTATTTAAAGCCAGGAAATATTTTTAGGTTGTGACAATTTTTTTTAATAATAATGGTTTAGTGATAAAAGTCTTAATAATTAACCCATAGCTGAGAAACATAGGAGGGGTGGAGTCACACCTTTTACAAGGGTAAGATATAAGTGAATATAATGAACCCAACTGGAATTAGAACTTGACTCTCTGATTAACAATTCCAAGCAATTATTCATTAAACCACCTGCATATCTAAGCTTACAGCATCTGCTATTCCAAAGTGGTCACCCATCTAGGTACTGACCAGGCTCAATGTTGCTTAACTTCAGAAGTCATACAGGAACTGGTGTTGTAATATGATGTGGCCATAGACATCTTTAATAGTGATGACAGTTAATATTACAGAAAACCAGACTTGATATATAAAGCAGCATTAAAAAAAATGAATATTGGAGATATTATGAAATCACATTATTCATAGCATATCTGTGCCACGATAGAAACATTTTTCCAAGGATTTCTAGGTGTTTTTGTACAGCAAAGTCCAGGAAACCCAGGCATTAATCAAGGCTGTCTCAAACCAGAAAAAAAAAAGTAATGGTGAAATACAAGATTTTCATTCCCATGAGATGACAGCCTGATCAACATTAGGCTGAGTGAAAATGAAGAGAGAACAAAGTATATAGTCATGGCTTTAACAGAGCTGGATAGGCTAGAAGGGAAATGATAATAAAGAAAGAGTCTAGAAAGTTAAGACAACGTTCTCATATTTTCTTGTCCTAAGGCATTAGATAAATAACATTGAGCAATGACAAGACTTGAGGGAGGTCAATAACCATTTATATTATAAATGAAAAGTACAAGAAGATATTGCTGTTATGTCCCAATGTGGTGAGAGCTGGAAAGGTACATCAGAAATACCTGCCATAACATCATGGTTTATTTTCACTCTTTTTTGATGAGCATTTTATCAACAAATATTAAGACAGAAAGGTGCTGCTATAGTATGATATCTACCATCTATTTTCTACTATACTATGATATATACTATTCATTTTCTACTAAGGTATGGTATTTACCAACTGTTGAAAGTATGAAATGGGTGAAGGTTAAAGGCAGTGAACAGTGAACTGGTTACGTATTAAAAATCATTAACAATCTTTTATATAAAACTTTTTTAAAAATCATTAAATAGAGATTTTAATGTTTGTAAACTGATTTGATGTCATTCAAAAAAAAAAAATCAGTAAACCGGTCATTGTCTTTTCTGAGCATTTTCCACCAATTATGAGTGCATCATCATTTATGGCAGGTCACAAATGCCTTGGTAGATATCGTACTATTGTCGCACCAACAGAGAGCTGGTGACGCAGAAACTCAAGATAAAGATTTAATGATGATTATGAAAGACAAACACAAAAAAATATAGATTTAGAGAGGAACATGTGAGATGAGTATAGTGATAGCAACAAATAAATCACTAAATAACTTTTAACCCTTAACACTGGGTTATGAAGGCAAAATAATTGATGAGTAATAATAAAAGGAAAATGAAAATTTCATAAAATTACATTAAAATAGAGATAAGAATAATAATTAACAATAAAGAAAGAAAAAATGAGATTATAAAAAAATAGTTAAATAAATATGAATACTCCCATCATGCACTGGAACAGGCATTTTTGCCTCCAATTGAAACAGAAATCAAATTTTCTCTCTCTTTACCTTCAACTGCTAAATGTCTGAAGCAGTGTGGAATGTCAACATCTTGATTGTGTCATTATTTTCTCTTTGGGTTACACACACTATTTTAATTGTTGTTGTCATTGAAATCCTCAAGTCATGTGGTTATTATAGTACAGTTCTTTGTTTGCGATTCTGTAACACCAATCTATTGTATGTTCAATTTCTTTATCTCCTATGCTAAATTTGTTATAACCAATCTATACACAAAGGGATTTAAGAGTTTAGTATTTGCTAATTCCTCATCCTGAATTTTTATGATAGCTTCAGGGTATGAGCCATTACCGCTTTCATTCCAATTCAAGATCATAGTTTCTGTTTTGGAATGGTTTGAGTCCTATTTCTTGGAATACTTAGTAAAGGATGTTGATTTTTTTTGTTCTTATCCCAACTATGAATGCCTATGTCATTGGCATAGACCCAGCCTATCAGCAATGCATGGGCCTCTGAAGAAAAATGTGTTTTTATCTAATAAAAGAAAATACAATAAATCTGATAACACTTAAATGTACCAGGCTAAAAAGTTGTGATAAAAACAAAACAGAAGAGGACATTCTTTTTCTATGTGTCATGTTCCTTCTCTCCAAAACCATATTCTTCCATCTATTTGCCCAAGTGCATTCTTCTTTTTCTCTATGTGTCATGTCCATTCAGGACATTGGAGGTCATGGCTCTCCACAATTTCCTGTCCTTTGTAGCACTGAATAAATTTTCCCTTTTTGTTATCCCTCCTAAAACATGTTCTTCCATCCATTTACACAAGCTCATTCTTCTTTTTCTCTATTTGTCCTGTCTCTTCAGGACATTGGTGGTCATGGCTCTCCACAATTTCCTGTCTTTTGTAGTTCTTTTTTTGTTATATCTCCTGAACCATGTTCTTCCATCCATTTACACAAGCTCATTCTTCTTCTTCTGTGTGTTGTGTCCCTTCAGGACATTGGCAGTCATGGGTCTCCATGGTTTCCTGTGCTTTCTTGCTCTTAATAAATTTTATCTTTTTGTTATCTCTTCTAAACCATGTTTCTCCATCCATTTACTCACACTAGCTAGGTAAGTTATGTGTGGTTTTCCTTTGTCACTCTTGCTTTCAATCTGACCTGTGAGTGTCAAATTTTCTAAGCCCTCTTTCCTCATTATGTGCCCTTGAAATTTCATCTATAATAGTGATTTGTTAGCCACCTTGGCAGACAGGTGGGCTCAAAAATGAGTCACACTTAACATATTATTCAATATGTGGAAGGACTTTATATGTCAAAGAAAAATAATGAGGTTGTTCTGCGATTGTAAGTACCATCATATCTTGAAGATCACTTGAAGACTTCTAACTGCAAGAACAACTGAAATGGATATCACATGTAACATGAAGAGAAAATAATGACATAATCAAGTTGTTGGATTTCCACACTACTTCAAACAAAAGATTAGGAAGGAAATCCCCATCAATATTAGAAAGAGTGAGAACTTGAAAATCCTATTTTCCAGAAAAACTGTTTTAAGAGAAAGATTTTATGAATTTCAACCAACGATAATGCTAACTTGAATGGTTAGCTATATTTTGGGGTTGAAATTTAATGTCAAATGTTTCCTGTATGGAAACAGCCAATCTCAGCTTTTTACTATAGTGACTAAAAGAATTTTGAAGGGAGAAAACTTAGGATTTTACCAGAAAGATATATTTCCTTTCTCTTTTTTATAAAGGTATTTGAATACAACTCACAGTAGAAATAAAAAAAAAATGTATGATCATGAATTAGCATTGCAGAAGAAAAAAACTATGGGCTAAAAATTGACACCTGACAATGAATGGAGAGTACATGATCAAAAGATTATGTCTAAAATTGAGAACAACCAAAGATGATTTATTTATTTTCAATGGTTTATCAACACATTGCAGGTTATTTAAAGCCAGAAAATATTTTTAGATTGTAAAAATTACTTTTTAAACATAATGGTTTAGTGATGCAATTTTTACTAATTAACCCATACCTGGGGCATGAAGAGGTAGATTCGTACTTTTCCTAAAGTTATTTGCATGTAATTAAATATAACGAAAATGAATATACCCAACCCAACTTGGCTCACTGATTAACAAATCTGAGCCATTATCCATGATACCACCTGCACATCCAAGCTTACAGCACCTGGTATTCTCAAGTAGTCACTCATCCAGGTACTGACCAGGCTAGACTTTGCTTAACTTTGGTGATCATATGGGAACCAATGTTTCAAAGTGATACTGACACCAGATTTAAAACAGTCCAGAAATACACCACCTAATGTAATTGATACAAATATTGGTTCTGAAAGTTCAATCCCTGGATCAGGTAGAGAAAGTCATATATCTGATTCAATAGGAATAAACAATAATCAGCATCACAGGAACAAATAAGACAAGAATTAACTTAGAGGTATCTTTCATCGATCAAAAATGGACTCCTGATGATAGTTAGTCAAGAGTGTACACAGTCGAAAGGTTGTGCCTATAAAGACATTTATAAAGACCAATGTGAACAATTGTTTGAATAAATCAAAGTGTAATAACAATTCCTCACCAAGAAAAACAATACAAACTTTTTTCACTCATTATGAGTACATTAATATCATTATTGTAACATATTAATATTATAATATTAATAAGGAAACATTTTTCCAAGAAATTATATTATAACTCACATATAACCACCTAATGACATTAATATTGTTTAAAACTGAAAAAATGTTTCTGACTTGTGTAGGAAAGATTGACAAACAAAAAAAATTCCCCAATATAAACTTTTGAACTGACATTTCATATTCTGGAAGATCAGATTCTAAAAATGAAGTGTTTATTATAGTGAAAATTTTCAGCCTTTCTTAGAAGAAAATGATGAAATAGTGTGTAGAATGGTGTTTTCTTTAATAGAATGCTGTGTAAGTTTCTTTTAAGGAAATGATGCAATAGCTAATTATTTATAGAAACATAAGATAGTTTTCTTTGAATGAACAGTCCTGGATAAGACAGTAAACTACATCTGGCAGCAAGGCCTCTGATCAGGTGATTGGAGGTTTTGAGAATTTGTGGACCTACTTCTTAATTGCTGTTCTTCCCAGGTCCACCCTGAACTGGGGTGGTAGCACCTATTAGAGTCCCAGTTATCGACAAATACTGAACCCTCAAACAAAAACAAAACACGATGAAAGTATAAAAATACATTTTTATAGTAAAAATACTAGTCATACATTTTATAGTAGAATTACTAACAATAAATTTTATTGCAAAATGACCAACAATAAATTTTATTGCAAAATGACCAACAATAAATTTTATTGCAAAATGACCAACAATAAATTTTATTGCAAAATGACCAACAATAAATTTTATCTGTAGTTGAAGGCATACAGTTGCATTCAAAATATATTTAGTTGAATCCATAAAATCGTGTTCAAAATATTTAGATTCCAACATTAAATAACCCATAGATGTGTTGATATACTAACAAAAAATCAACCAACCAACTTTGAATGAAATGATTGGATACCTTTCTTTTAGTGGAATGATGATGGGGTAGCTTTTGTAAACAAAGCTATCTTTACTCTGGAAAGAAATTTCAACATATTTTGTGCTTGAATTTTTAAAATTTCACAA